CAGGCCGGGCCGGAGGAAGCGGCTGGGAGCTGGGCAGGGCAGAGGGAGGGAAGCAGGCAGGCAGGCAGGCAGGCAGAGGCCCCGGCCAGGAGCGCGGCGGCAGGGCCGGGCAGCTGCGCGGGGTGGACTCCGGGCCGCGGTCGGGAGCTGCTGCTGCTGCTGCAGCGGGGATCCTTGCAGGTGGCGCCTCCGTCTTGGCCACGGCTGCCGAACCGCTCCGGCTGCCAAGCGCCCGCCTTTGCCGGACGGCTGAGCCCCCCACCCCCGAACCTTCTAGAAAGGGGGGAGACGAGGGGGGCCTCCCAGGACCGGGGGCGGACCGGCTCGAAATGCGACACTCCGGTCGAAATGGGATTCCTGACCCCCCGTGCGGTTCGCGCACTTCCAGGCCACTGCGGCTGTCATCCGCAACCCAGACTAGTCAGTCGCCCGCCAGCCAGCCAGCCCGCCCGCCCGCCACGGGTTGCTGCAGAAAATTATGCTGAGAATCTCACTGGAAGGAAGGCCACTTTGCCAAGCGAACCCGTTTTTGTTCTCAGGCCGGAAAACCAGAACCAAGGCCCCGCTGAGGGGGTTGGCTTCCCCGGCAGTGGCTCCTAGCCGTGGTGTCTGAGGGGGGCCGCCACATGCAGAGGCACTAATCCTCCGGATCCCACAGCCAGGAGGCAGCCGCCTCGGGAAGGCCTCTCTGCCCTGTTGCTGGCCCTCCAGAGGAACTGGCTGGCCCCTGTGTGAGAGGGGAGGCTGGACTAGAGGGACCCTGAGGTTTTCACCAGGGGAAGGCCTCGGCCTCTCTGCCCTGTTGCTGGCCCTCCAGAGGAACTGGCTGGCCCCTGTGTGAGAGGGGAGGCTGGACTAGAGGGACCCTGAGGTTTTCACCAGGGGAAGGCCTCGGCCTCTCTGCCCTGTTGCTGGCCCTCCAGAGGAACTGGCTGGCCCCTGTGTGAGAGGGGAGGCTGGACTAGAGGGACCCTGAGGTTTTCACCAGGGGAAGGCCTCGGCCTCTCTGCCCTGTTGCTGGCCCTCCAGAGGAACTGGCTGGCCCCTGTGTGAGAGGGGAGGCTGGACTAGAGGGACCCTGAGGTTTTCACCAGGGGAAGGCCTCGGCCTCTCTGCCCTGTTGCTGGCCCTCCAGAGGAACTGGCTGGCCCCTGTGTGAGAGGGGAGGCTGGACTAGAGGGACCCTGAGGTTTTCACCAGGGGAAGGCCTCGGCCTCTCTGCCCTGTTGCTGGCCCTCCAGAGGAACTGGCTGGCCCCTGTGTGAGAGGGGAGGCTGGACTAGAGGGACCCTGAGGTTTTCACCAGGGGAAGGCCTCGGCCTCTCTGCCCTGTTGCTGGCCCTCCAGAGGAACTGGCTGGCCCCTGTGTGAGAGGGGAGGCTGGACTAGAGGGACCCTGAGGTTTTCACCAGGGGAAGGCCTCGGCCTCTCTGCCCTGTTGCTGGCCCTCCAGAGGAACTGGCTGGCCCCTGTGTGAGAGGGGAGGCTGGACTAGAGGGACCCTGAGGTTTTCACCAGGGGAAGGCCTCGGCCTCTCTGCCCTGTTGCTGGCCCTCCAGAGGAACTGGCTGGCCCCTGTGTGAGAGGGGAGGCTGGACTAGAGGGACCCTGAGGTTTTCACCAGGGGAAGGCCTCGGCCTCTCTGCCCTGTTGCTGGCCCTCCAGAGGAACTGGCTGGCCCCTGTGTGAGAGGGGAGGCTGGACTAGAGGGACCCTGAGGTTTTCACCAGGGGAAGGCCTCGGCCTCTCTGCCCTGTTGCTGGCCCTCCAGAGGAACTGGCTGGCCCCTGTGTGAGAGGGGAGGCTGGACTAGAGGGACCCTGAGGTTTTCACCAGGGGAAGGCCTCGGCCTCTCTGCCCTGTTGCTGGCCCTCCAGAGGAACTGGCTGGCCCCTGTGTGAGAGGGGAGGCTGGACTAGAGGGACCCTGAGGTTTTCACCAGGGGAAGGCCTCGGCCTCTCTGCCCTGTTGCTGGCCCTCCAGAGGAACTGGCTGGCCCCTGTGTGAGAGGGGAGGCTGGACTAGAGGGACCCTGAGGTTTTCACCAGGGGAAGGCCTCGGCCTCTCTGCCCTGTTGCTGGCCCTCCAGAGGAACTGGCTGGCCCCTGTGTGAGAGGGGAGGCTGGACTAGAGGGACCCTGAGGTTTTCACCAGGGGAAGGCCTCGGCCTCTCTGCCCTGTTGCTGGCCCTCCAGAGGAACTGGCTGGCCCCTGTGTGAGAGGGGAGGCTGGACTAGAGGGACCCTGAGGTTTTCACCAGGGGAAGGCCTCGGCCTCTCTGCCCTGTTGCTGGCCCTCCAGAGGAACTGGCTGGCCCCTGTGTGAGAGGGGAGGCTGGACTAGAGGGACCCTGAGGTTTTCACCAGGGGAAGGCCTCGGCCTCTCTGCCCTGTTGCTGGCCCTCCAGAGGAACTGGCTGGCCCCTGTGTGAGAGGGGAGGCTGGACTAGAGGGACCCTGAGGTTTTCACCAGGGGAAGGCCTCGGCCTCTCTGCCCTGTTGCTGGCCCTCCAGAGGAACTGGCTGGCCCCTGTGTGAGAGGGGAGGCTGGACTAGAGGGACCCTGAGGTTTTCACCAGGGGAAGGCCTCGGCCTCTCTGCCCTGTTGCTGGCCCTCCAGAGGAACTGGCTGGCCCCTGTGTGAGAGGGGAGGCTGGACTAGAGGGACCCTGAGGTTTTCACCAGGGGAAGGCCTCGGCCTCTCTGCCCTGTTGCTGGCCCTCCAGAGGAACTGGCTGGCCCCTGTGTGAGAGGGGAGGCTGGACTAGAGGGACCCTGAGGTTTTCACCAGGGGAAGGCCTCGGCCTCTCTGCCCTGTTGCTGGCCCTCCAGAGGAACTGGCTGGCCCCTGTGTGAGAGGGGAGGCTGGACTAGAGGGACCCTGAGGTTTTCACCAGGGGAAGGCCTCGGCCTCTCTGCCCTGTTGCTGGCCCTCCAGAGGAACTGGCTGGCCCCTGTGTGAGAGGGGAGGCTGGACTAGAGGGACCCTGAGGTTTTCACCAGGGGAAGGCCTCGGCCTCTCTGCCCTGTTGCTGGCCCTCCAGAGGAACTGGCTGGCCCCTGTGTGAGAGGGGAGGCTGGACTAGAGGGACCCTGAGGTTTTCACCAGGGGAAGGCCTCGGCCTCTCTGCCCTGTTGCTGGCCCTCCAGAGGAACTGGCTGGCCCCTGTGTGAGAGGGGAGGCTGGACTAGAGGGACCCTGAGGTTTTCACCAGGGGAAGGCCTCGGCCTCTCTGCCCTGTTGCTGGCCCTCCAGAGGAACTGGCTGGCCCCTGTGTGAGAGGGGAGGCTGGACTAGAGGGACCCTGAGGTTTTCACCAGGGGAAGGCCTCGGCCTCTCTGCCCTGTTGCTGGCCCTCCAGAGGAACTGGCTGGCCCCTGTGTGAGAGGGGAGGCTGGACTAGAGGGACCCTGAGGTTTTCACCAGGGGAAGGCCTCGGCCTCTCTGCCCTGTTGCTGGCCCTCCAGAGGAACTGGCTGGCCCCTGTGTGAGAGGGGAGGCTGGACTAGAGGGACCCTGAGGTTTTCACCAGGGGAAGGCCTCGGCCTCTCTGCCCTGTTGCTGGCCCTCCAGAGGAACTGGCTGGCCCCTGTGTGAGAGGGGAGGCTGGACTAGAGGGACCCTGAGGTTTTCACCAGGGGAAGGCCTCGGCCTCTCTGCCCTGTTGCTGGCCCTCCAGAGGGACTGGCTGGCCCCTGTGTGAGACGGGAGGCTGGACTAGAGGGACCCTGAGGTTTTCACCAGGGGAAGGCCTCGGCCTCTCTCTCATGTTGTTGGCCCTGCAGAGGAACTGGCTGGCTACTACGTGAGACGGGATGCTGGACTAGAGGGACCCTCACTGGTCTGATCCAGCAGGGCTCTTCTGATGTTCTTACAGATGCAATAAATGGCAGCTGCTTTTATACAGCATTATAATGCCCAGATTTATGTCAGTATTGCTGGAAGAGCCTCAACAGGAACAGAAAACCTGAAGACTATTAAACCAGCTTGTGCAGAAACACAAAGATTAAGAAACAGAGCACACATTGTTAAATACACAGAGGAAGTGGCAAGGCTTGCGATTACAACACACAAGTATTAATTCGGGCTCCAAAACTAAGTGTAGCAAGTTTCAAATTTGCATGTGGGACATAACTAGGCTATTAAAAGGGTGTTAGCTTAGTTCAGACACTCTTTTAACTTGTGCACAACAACACACACTTTGAGATCCCTTCCACCCCACCCCAAACAAAGGAGAAAGCAAAGGATTCAAGCTGCAGAAAAGAAGATGTGGGCTGGTTAAGCAGGAAACACTTTGTAATAGTTAAGCAATGGGGGAAATTAGCTGTTGCTAGAACTGGGCTAAGAGATCACAAACGTCACCTCAGTTAATGATACACTTCTATGAAAAAACAATATAAAGGCTACAGCTAGGAGAACAGGTTGGTAGTGCTCAGACACTTTCACAATTTTCCCCAACAGAAATCGGTCAGACGGCACTTCCGTAAACAAACTGTTCCTTTCTTTGAGGAAACAGCCATCAGAAGAACCACCTTATTGCAAAACGTCTAATGATGGAACCGAAACTTGGTTTAAACAGGATGCTGGCAAGGCAAACTCTCTTTTCTGTAGGACTTTGCATTCACACAGCAGCCCCTACGTAAGCTGGGTTGCTGCCTGTGGAAAGCTGCTAAATTAGGCTTTGAGAACCACCTTTGTGACAGCCATGCCCAGGGCGTAAACTGGTCTCCTCCGAGATATACCTGGGGAAGCCAGCAGGTTCTGAGCTTAACCATTGTCTGTGTGGTGCTTGCATACTTTTTCCTGTACTGAGGGTTGATTGATCAGTAGCGAGACCTTAGGGCCTCTTTGCCAATGTCCTCTCTGCAGCATCACCCTCACAGAGCAGCAGAGCAGTGGGCAGCCTGGGCCCAGCAGCACTCTGCTCTTGGTGGGTGGCGCAGAACAATAGGAGAGTTTCAGCCCTGCACCTAGAAACCTAGCGTGTTGGGGAATGGGGCTCTGGCCTGTGTCTTGGTGTGCTAGCTTTCTATATGCAGGGCTTGTTCCTCTTCTGAGTGGAGGCCTCCTAGGCCAGTCTAGAGCATGACAGTTGGATCTCTCTCATCACTTCTCTATCCTGCCCTTGCCTGAGGCCCGGCTTACATGCTTCTCCGCCTCCACAACGGCCCTGTGAGGCAGGGCTCGGCTAAGATGAAGCACGCTTCCAACCAGTCAGATGGCCAGACCATGAGGGTTAGCCCGGGCTCCTTTCTCCAGGGGTTCTGGTAAAG